CCAGGCCGTCCAACCAACGCTAGGCCGCCCGACCAACCAGGCAGGCCAGCGCCAGGGCCAAAGAGCCAAGTAATGGGGGCGAAGTCAAGTCTCCACCGCCAGGCCGCCAAAGTTCTTCCAGGCCGCCCGGGTCCTTCCAAGCCACAAAAGACGGGCCGAAAATAAGCCGAACGCCAGGCCGCCCGACCAACCGGAACAGGCCCGCGCCCAGCCGGGGAGCCGAATAACACAGTCAAGACCAGGCCTCCACCACCAGGCCGCCCGAGATCTTCCTGGCCGGAGTTCCTCCCGGCCGCCCAGGTCATTCCAAGCCGCCCGAAATCGTCCCGGCCAGAGTTTTCCGTGCCGCCCGAGTTCTTCCCGGCCGCCCAAGTCCTTCCACGCCGCCCGAGTCCTCCCAGCTTTGCGGCCGGGTCCCCAGCTATGCGGCCGGGTCCTCCCAGGCGCAATCGAACAGGCCGCAATCGAACAGGCCGCGTCCCCGCCGCAATCGAACAGGCCGCGTCCTTCCGGCTGCAGTCGTCCAAGCTGGGCCCGAGCTGGAAACGGGCCCAGGCTGAAGAGGAGCCGAGACGGGTCAGGGCGGGCCTAAAACGGGCCGGGTGGGCTAAAACGGGTCCGAGCGGGGGTTCGCCCACCCGCTCATCGCCGCAAGCCCCCCCGAGGCACCCCCAAAACACCCCATACTTATTAACCCATCTGGCTAAGGGGAGTGTCTTTACTAAATTAGACCTGAGAGAGGCATATTACCGGGTGAGAATAAAAGAGGGATACGAGTGGAAAACTTCCTTCAACTGTCCTATGGGGAGCTATCAGTTCAAAGTCATGCCATTTGGACTACAGGGGGCCCCAGCTGTATTTATGCAGTTGATTAATGAAGTCCTACATGATCACTTGTACAAAGGGGTTTTGGTATATCTTGATGATATCCTGATATACAGCACGAATATGACTGATCACATAAAGCTGGTGAGAAAAGTGTTAAAGAAACTATTGAATGCCAAGCTTTATGCCAAATTGTCAAAATGTGAATTTCACCAAACCCGATTAGATTATCTTGGCTATAGAATTTCCAACGAGGGTATTGAAATGGATCCAGCCAAGGTGAAAGCTATAATCGAATGGCAGCCCCCAAAGACTCACAAACAGCTCCAGAGCTTTCTGGGTTTTGCCAACTTTTATCGTCAATTAATCCTCTCTTTTGCCGAGATTGCCCTACCCCTTACAGAACTACTCAAAACAGGCAAAAGAGGAGGGAAGCCACGACCGGGCCAACCACTATCATGGACAATGGGCTGTCAAACAGCTTTTGAGAATTTAAAGAGACTATTTGCTGCTGAACCGGTCCTAAAGCATCCCTGCCCAGGGGAACCCTTTGTGATTCAAGCCGACACCAGCGATGTGGCAGTTGGAGCTGTGTTACTGCAAAAGAACAAAAGTGGGTTCCTGCAACCCTGCGCCTACACCTCTAAGAAATTTACTGAGAGCGAGCGGAGATGGGCAATCTGGGAGAAAGAGGCCTTTGCGATTAGATGGGCGCTATTAAACTGGCGACACTATCTAGAAGGGAGCAAGGTGCCATTTGAGGTATGGACAGATCACAAAAATCTAGAAGCACTGAAAACTCCCCGCAAATTGTCCCCAAAGCAAGTAGGGTGGGCACAGTACTTTAACCGCTTCAACTTCACTCTAAAGTACATACCAGGAGGAAAGAACTTCCTAGCTGATGCGCTATCCCGGTTACCCAATACAAAAGCGAACGAGAGGAGGTTAACGAGGCAATTATTCCCAATCCACAAACTGCTGCTCAACTTACACCTCGCAGGGTTCCCAATCCTGATGACCATGGAGTAAAGAAAATAAAACGAGAGCTCCTCACCGTCTTAATGCTCTCAAACACAGCCACGATGTAAAACAGGCTGGACACTTTGGATATTGAAAACCTTACACCTCACCCGCTGGCAATTTTGGTGGCCGGGGCTGAAAAGGGATGTGAAAAACTATGTAAAAAGTTGTACTGTATGTGCCACAATGAAAAGAATCCCAGGGAAAATCCATGGGTTACTGCAACTCGTGGCAGACCCTTCTCAACCATGGGAAGAAATAGCTATGGACTTTATAGTAGACCTACCTGAAAGTAGTGGAAATACTGTCATCTGGACTGTAATAGACCTGTTCTCGAAGCAGGCTCATTTCATTGCCTGCAAAGGACTCCCATCTGCCCAACGCCTGACCAAATTGTTCCTGAAACATATCTACCGGCTGCATGGCGCCCCTAAGCGAATAATTTTGGACAGGGGGGTGCAGTTCACAGCGAAGTTTTGGAGAAGTTTCCTTACATTAATTGGATCATCTCAAGGCTTATCATCTGCTTTTCATCCGGCCACCAATGGGGCTGCAGAAGCTGCTAGCAAAATGGTAGAGCAATATCTTAGATGCTACGTTTCTTACCAACAGACGAACTGGACTGATCTCCTCCCTTTTGCGGAGGTGGCGTACAATAATTCTGTGCACAGCAGCACTGGCTACACGCCTTTCAGAGTGGCCACAGGAAAAGAGTTCAGCCCAATACCTGAATATCCTCAGTTGCCCTCCGCTTCCCAGACACTTGACCAGTGGGTGAGGGGGTGGGAAGAAGTTTGGAGAAACACAAAAACTGCTTTAAAAAAGACTTTTGAAACCTATAAAAAGCAGGCTGATAAAAAGAGGGCTCCCCAAAGAACATTCCAAGTTGGGGAAAAGGTTTATTTGTCAACTAAATATCTACGCCTCAAATTGCCCAGCAAGAAATTGGGACCAAAATTCTTGGGGCCTTTCCTCATAGTAAGGATCATCAACCCGGTCACAGTAGAACTAAAACTCCCTAGACGTTTAGGGAAAATTCACCCAGTTTTCCATTGTAGCTTGTTGAAACTTTATCGGGACTCCACTTTAAGACCTCCTCCGAAGAAGGCACCTGGGCCCCTCGTAGTTGCGGGACAGACCCACTATGAAGTAAAACGTATTCTTGACTCTAGAATTTTTAAAGGGAAATTGCAGTACCTAGTACAATGGAAGGGATACCCGTTGTCTGAAGCCACCTGGGTGAAATCCAGTGAAGTGAAAGCTGACAGATTGGTCAAACGGTTTCATGTGAAACATCCCAACAAACCGAAAACTAGTCATTAACATATGCTTTGTTTACATTACAAGATCTGTCTTTCTTGTAAGGGGGGCCGGATGTCAATGCTGCAAATACTGTATATTCTTGCTTTGACAAAATATGCAGAACTGTCTGGTATTTTTAGAGTTAATTCAGATGATGGTGGGGGGGAGGAGAAAGGACTGCTGGCGGGAAGAGACCGGAAGAGAACCTCTGCCCTTCCACCTGATAGGAGAACATGATATATGACAGCAAATTTAGGGAGGGAACATGCTGGTAAATTAATTGCTCAGAGGAAGAGAATTTTAGATCTTAGCATCAACTTTGTTGTGCCTGTGCCGACATTTTGTAGCAATAAATTACTTTTAGGAAAATCAATGCCTGGAAGTTCTTTGAAGTGTTTCATTAGCCGGAACCATAACATAGGAGACCTGGTAAAATTATCTCTCTGCTCCAGAATGTTAAGAAAATGGTCTTTCCCGTAACCTCTACACATGCACATACACTTGCAAATTGAGAATGTGGCTGAGAAGGTTGAAAGCTTTGGGAATGGAATGGGAGAACGATTTCTAAGTGGAAAACTTGATCTCTCACTAATTTTATGAGCATTTAGAGTAGGCTTTCACAACCTGGCATTTGACAATGTTTAGAAATTACAATTCACAGAATCCCCTGCCAGCACAGACTTAGCTATTTTGTGAGGTTCCTTAATCGTCTTCTTTTAATAATGGCCACCTATAACCTTCTGTCTTTATTTCCTGCCTAGGAAATTCTCTGACACATATTTCTGCAGCCATAACAAAAGCCAGGTTGGTGGAAGGGAGAGTTCTTAAACAATGTGAATGGCCTTTTCTTAAAACACAGAAGTGTTATTTTAGAAAAGGGATTAAGTAGATTAACTGTAGTATTATTTGCAGGTTTAATGCTCCAAGAGAAAAATAATTGCCTCATTTTTGTTTCCTTCACAGTAATTAACAAACATTGGAGGCAGCAGCTGGAATCTGTGAGCTTTTCTTCTCGCTATGCTCTGGGCCTTTTCTATGAAGCTGGCATCCAGTTTGATGCCCCTTGGGCGGTACAATACATCTCAAATAATCCCTGCATATGCTTCATCTCCATTGATAATAAGAAGCGTGAAATAGGTCAGTGCTTCCATTACTCCTTATAAACACAGTAAGAATGGAGGGTGTGGATCATGGCTGGAGAGAACTCTCTAATGTTAATTTGGTCTGTACCTGCTGTACCTTCTGAATGCTTTTCAAAAGTAGCCCATGTGGAAATGTTACAGTAATTCAAATGGGAGATAAATTGGACATGAGTTATTGCAGTTAGGTTCAAAAATGGGTGCAATTGGTGAAGAAGATAGAACCTTTCTGACCACAGTTGTGATCTGCTCCAGGAGATCCCTAAGTTGCAGACCAACCCCGACTGGGGAATACAACACTGTTAAGAGCCAAACCATACTGATGATACTTGATTCCATCTCAACAAATGAGTCCTCCATGCATGTAGCTTTTGAAGAATAGTGGGAATAGGGGCACCCCACAGAACAGAGATTTCCAGCCAGATTTTTCCCCCCCACCCCAACTGCCAAACTGAAGCTGACCCTTTAGGAAACAGGAAAGCCACCAAAGAATGGTGCTTCCCTCCCCCATTACTAAACATCAGAGCCAGTTCAGAAGGCTAGGTTAACTGGTGGTAGTATTAAAAGCTGCTGAGAAGTCAAGGAAGACTGGGGAGATTATGTTCCCCCAGTGTCAATCTTTCCAAAGCTTATTTACATGTGCAACTACTGCAGTTTCCATGCAGAGCCCAGCCCAACTGTCTCTGGCCCAGATAATGTGCTTTTTCTAGGGTCTTATGAAGTTGCAGGGCTACCTCATTTGTTACTACATTTTCCAAAACAGGGAGGTTAGAAACAGGTCTAAATTTGTCCAAAACAGTTAGATTGAGCAAAGGCTTCATAAGCAGGAGTTATACCATGCTTTCAGAAATGGGTAGATCCCTCTTGACCAAATAAGTGTTAATTACTCTTTAAAAAAAAAAGGAACAGTTCTGTTGCACCAAAAGAATCACAACTCCAACATAGAAAGAGTTCAGATTTTTTTCAGGATTCAGATTGGAATTCAGATTGACCGTTCCACATATCTGTAGGTTTTATTTAGACACAAATCTTAAAGGAATAACATTTGTTTGGCTTTGTGTGTCCAGAATTACACATTTTGTCACGCATACCATGAAAACACCAGCCCAAATGCAAATACCAGTACTTGAACATCCATATAGATGTTAAGCTTTTATCAGGCCATTCTCCTTCTGTCTCCATTTAATCTGGAGAAGGGATAGAAAGTGCTTAGACATCTTGCTCCAAAACACCCCACGAATCTATCAGAGTTGCTAAACATGTATACGCCATACAAGCCCATACCACTGCATTACAGAGAAGAATAAAGGCAGTTGACAAAATAAAAACGAATAACAAAGGTATAAAGGGGGCTGGTATTTCAGATTTTGTAGACAATAGATGGAGGATTCAATAACTAATTATTTAATCATAATGATCTCCCTAAGTGGAATGTAAGGGCAGCTTGCTAGCTATACCAGTGTAATGCCATCCTGGAGACCCAGATTCAAATTTATCTCTCCAAACCACAGCAACTCATTGATAATGTAGCCTCCTCTGCCTCACAAAATGACTATTGAGGTAAAATTGATGTAGAATAGAGTGTTATATGAGCTCCCAAAGGCAGGATGTAAATCTAACAGACAAGTAAAGATTGATTTTGGTCTCTCTGACTTGCTTCATGTACAACATGAGTTTATGATAATAATTTCATAATCTCAGTTAAAATGTCCTGTTGGCTCTATTAAGGTTTTCAAAATCTTCCCTAATAGAAACAGCGATTAGTTTTTTAGCAGGCAAAATATATGATATTTTCCCCAAGATAATTGTATTTTCTCCTTAATTGTCTATTCTAGTTTCAGTTCTGCAGCCTATTTAAAGAATGTTTGAAAGAGCAAAGTATTCACATAATTTTAAATGACTCAAACTGGGCTGCAAAATTAAATATTTTGTTTATTCATTTACTTATTTGCTAGATTTATCTTTCCTCCAGGAGAATATGCAAGTGTACTTAGCTTTCTTCCTCTGTCTGAGGTAGGTTGGCTGAGAGAGTGACTGGCCCAAAATCACCTACTCTGAGTTTTGTAGATGAAAGTAGACTCAAACCTGGGTCTCCCCAGGCCTAGTCCAGCACTTAAGCACTATCATACTTTCATTTGCCTGCTTTATTCAAAAATATGCTAGCTCAGTTCTGTGGAATTAACAAAGGTACAGTAAGAAATGCCCTTGAGTATAAATTGCTGTTGCAGCAGCAATTGGCACAAATAAGGCCAGAATAAGAACCATGTTTGTTTGAAACTCTGCCAGTTAAGGGCACATGGACAGCCATCTGCCAGGAACGGCTGCTCTTCTCCTTCCTGTTTCACCCTGGGCCCTGTAACTGCAACATCTTTTAGTAAATGCAGCTGTTGCTTGGGTCCTATTTGAGAATTCATTGGAACTGCTATTTATCAGAGACACAGAAGGTCACAATCTGGATCTTGACCTAAATCCTACATCGAACAAAGAGCAACTAAGCATGAGGAAGATAGGACTGAGAGGCTTTCAATTATTACAGTTTCAGAGGGGGATATTTTTTGTGGTAATCCTCTTTTGTAGAAGACTTTTCTCTTTCCTGGCTGCCATTTCCATTCTCAGCTGTCCCTCAATTAAAAGCTAATTTTCCAAAATTTCCCTTAGAAAAGGTACAAGTTGTTTCATGCTGTTATATTGCTAATGCTGCCATCCTTTTTGAGTTTACTGGAAGAATGAGCCATTGGACTCATTGGGGCTTCTATTAAGCATATGTAATAGGACTATGTTGTGCAAAGGTTTGCTCTTCTAATCCTGTTTTCAACTCAATCAGCAGCTAAAAATCTCTATTCCCTTTATAGCACACGGTACAAGGCAATTGTGGGTGGAATTATATAAGGAATGACAGTCTCTTCTGTGTGCACCTCCATCAAAGTCAGTCTTGATTTTGTTTATTTTGAAGGTAAAAAGGTCTCCCTTTAGTGAAATTCCCAAAGCATCTTTAGCTTTGATTTCATTGATGATTTTCATTACTTCCAGGTCTTGTTCTGTTCTTTGATTGAACTACAATGCATATTTATGCTGTTGAGAAGATACTTTGACTTCCCATTTATTTTGCTCTGTGCTTAGCACCAAATCTTACATTCTGGGCTTACTTTCATATTAAATATGCATAAAACTGTAACACGGTATGTTATGGTACTTAATTTTATTTCCTTTTTTTACTAGACATATATGAAACAATCCTTTTTTTACAGTAGATTAATTGAGACAATTTTTGTTTAGACCTTTGTCTTTCATATAATTCTCATTTTAACAGTCAGGGTATGTCAGGAATAGCTCTTCTTTATTTGTTGTTTATTTAAAACATCTTTATACATCCCATCTTTATACAAATTCTGGGTAGTTCCCTCTTGTTTTCCTGGACTTTTTCTTCCCAATATATAGCCTTTTGCTATTCCTAAAGCTTGTAAAATATTATTGAAACTGAATTTGAAAGTATGAATGTTAAGAGGAAGATATAAAAAAGATGCATTAGAATTTATTGATTTTAGAAATATTTATAAGGAAAAGTTTAAAATTTTAATATTAAAATGGATGTTAAAAAAAACCAAGCTCCCAGTAAGCCTGATCATTTTAGGTTGTATTTTTTGTATTATTATATCAGAATCTTTACTATAACAGTGACACTATCTCCATTGTTTCTTTATATCTACATGCTAGATTTGACCAGCTGCTCCTGATGGATTAAAAGAGAGCTAGGATGTATCAAAGCATACATAACACAGATTTATAAAATGGTGGTTGGGAGAGAGGGTAGAAATATTTGTTGGCAGTGATTTGTCTAGGAAAACCATCTTACTCCATGGGAGTGAATTATATAGCTGCTGTAAGACTTAAAGAGCTCCTGAAGACAAGCAAGTGCAGATGAATTACTTCCCACAAGGCCTCATTATGGCAAAGGGCCCCTCCTCTTTTTTGTGTATTTTGTTGTCCCTTGTTAACTTGGTTGGATTTTGCAGTTCTGTTCCAAGGAAAGGAGTGGAACAATAGTGTTTGTTAGTAGCAAAACATAAATAGTTGCAGTGGCTGGTGTTTCTGTTTAATCTGAGGTTTTCTAAGGTGATTTCTTATTCTCTATTCCACCCACCCCACCCCAACCCACCCCACCTTAGACTATAAAATAGTTGAATAAGAAAAATAGAGATAATTTTTATTATTATGCCTATATCTATCCTCTTCAGAGTAATGCAAATCTCTGCAAACTAGGACGCTCATAATGAAATCACACTAACCAAAAACACATACAGTTTTGATGCATAATTCTTATTATGCTCATGTAATGTGTATATTTAAACATAATTATATTAATTATATTAAATTAATAGCAATGATTATTTATAAAATAATTCTTGTTACGCTCATTATCATTGCATAGACATTATGACTGAGACATGTATAGAACAGGTCTCTCTTCTTTTGAAGAGCGGCATTTTTGCCCAGCTCCATTGCATAGAACCTAAAAAAAGAGTGGGATTTGCTAGAAGAAGGATCAAGTTGTAAGATGAAGACAGAAGACATCATTCTTCTTGGTCTTGTCTGCATGCTATGCGTAGGCATCCTAACATGATGCCAACTATATCATGCAGCAAAGCCAGAAGAAAATAATGTTTCTTAGCTTGCTGGCTTCCGTTTCACCTCAAAGTAGGTTTAAAACTAGAAGCAAATCATAAAATGGAGAATCTGAAGATTACAGAACCCCTAGGTGGGAATTTAGTACATAGTTATCAAGACAAAAATATTGAAAGGGGACCTCAGAGCACATCAGTAGAAATATAAATGAAAATAGCCAAAGGCTATGGGTGATCAAAGGAACTCTAGATCCACATTTCTCATATGTTAGGAGAGCGCCCCAGTCCCTGTTTTTAGGTCTTCCCAAATCAGGCAGAAATCAAGCTATGCATTTCACAATTTTAGAAAAATGACCAGGTATTTAAAATACTGTAA